ACGAATTACGAAATATTTTAGTACCAACAACCTTTAAAACAGAACATGTTCGCCCTTTCAGCCTTGAGGGCGTTATAAAGTGACGGTCAATCCCACCTTTTGTTGGTGAAGCGTCGCCCATGAGATGGTGGTGGGTTCTATTGACTAGCTGCTTGCCATCTAGTCTATCACTTCTAAATTAGGGACAGCTAGTGCAGATCGCTCTCGAGTTGTTTTCGTGAAATTCAACATAACAAACAAATGGTCTTATTATATTCCGTTAAGCATAATTATTTTAAAGGTTCATACTATCATTATAACTTGATTTTAATGTTGTGTTTATTCGTACGTATTTGTTGTCTATGATAAGCAATGGTTCTAAGGTAAACAAAGGGATTTAACTCATTCCATCATTTAATATCTGTAAGTGGAGATAGCATCTAACCGTGCTTGACTCTTAATTAATTTAGTTCATTACTGTAATTGATGGTAACTTAATTGATGTCCTTATTTTCCAACTGAGTATAATTAATCAGAATGGGAACAATAAGCATTACTATAGCAAAGCATCAAGTTTATAGCTACCTAAATACGGCCATGTTTTCCTTTTTATTCAATTTATCATATAAACGTCAATCCAACATCTATGACTGTGTTTTAACTAACGACCATTTCGATAACCACTGAATCTAAGGTCCAGTTTATCACATAATACGATAAATAACATGAGCTGATTCTGTTTCTGTAACAAAAATGTTGTCTGTAGCTATTAAAGATCTTCCATTGTTCCGAATAAGCTCAGATTTGGTTGAATACAAGTTTTGTTGAGATTTATCAAATCGGGTCATTCAGATAACAAACAATATTGGTCAGCTCAAAATTCCCATTATAGTTGCTTATAGTCTATTAAAGTAGTCGGTAACAACTGTTGGTATTGGAATACAGCATACTAGTTTAATTATATAGTTCATTATGAAGAATGTAAGCGCTCGACGTAATTAATGAGCTAAATGGTTTGTAATGCTGGTTCTTTCCTTTGCTTCACCGCATTGTTGTTGTTACTGCATTCGAAACAAACGAAAAGTGATGTTACGCGTATATAACTTTAATCGCAAGACAACCAGACACCTTAAATTAACCCTAAAAATACACGTAGTAACTTGGCCAAGTAAATATATGTGTATGTTATTTAAAAAATACGATTTATGAGATAGTACTATAACAGATCAAACTCGACAGGTTGTGATGATTGATGAGTATTAAACAAATTAGGTCTGAGCGTGGTCAACTAATTGATTTAGCGGACTGAGGATCAAAGAGTCTCAGGTTCGAGACCTGGTGCCAGAAAACACGCTTTGTACTTTCACTATTCTCACAATTCTCACTAAGCGCGGCCGTATAAGTAGTATCATGAAACTGTAGTTACAATGAAAAAAGCTATACATTTATTTTAAGAATTTTTGACTTATGAGTTAGGTCTATATGCGATTGAACTTGGCTCGCTGTGAGGGTGAACCAGTTAGGGTCAATACTAAACCGATTGAGTAATCAACTACTTGATAAATCCCAAACTTCTTTGCATCAAGTGCCATCTTTCATTATGGACATACGGAAGACTGGGAAGCGAGTGACATATTTGGTTTTGAAAGCTATATTCAACGTACAGATTGAAAATATTTAAATAGATTTATTTTAAATTATCTAATTCTGACCATGCATTTTAAAATCGAACGATGATTTACATCTTGACTGTATGTCCTCCTGCAATAGTAGTTAGCGTGCTGAGGTGCAGATTGAAACATCCATAGTCCAAGACGTAATGCTACTGGACTTAAAGCTGTAGACGGGTTTTGAAATTGACAATCAATCTGGCTGTTCGTCCCAAAGAGCTGGAAAGCACTCTTATATTGGCAGGCGCTGTCTTTTCTCTCTGGTCAGTAGCTTAATATTAGGAACGACTATGCCTGAATCCTAGGTTGAACATTCCAATCCCATTCCCATGTGTGTTTTTTTTTTATGTACATAAAAGTAGATGTACACATGTTATTCAATTCTCTTTATCAGTGCACGTTTGCATGGATAACGAAAAAGACTTGATAAGCATGATATAAGTTTTCTAAGGCTACAAGCTATGCACACTTTTACCTGATAACTAGCTTTCAGGCCTAACAAACATTTCTGTAGCTTTCAGGCCTAACAAACATTTCAGTAGGTTTCAGGCCTAACAAACATTTCTGTAGCTTTCAGGCCTAACAAACAAGGCCTAACATATTAATATAAATCATAGTTAGGCATTTATGTATTTGTTAAATATTCCAATATCCTACTCAAAAGCCTGCATTACTGTAGTTTATTATGGCTATTTCCTCATATTCCTTCACTTGTGTGTTTTCTTTTCATAATATTTTATCCGTAGTTACAAAGATAATAATTGATCACAATTACATTGTATGATTTGATGGGGACAGCCAGGAAAACGACGTTAAACCCGCGCTGATAATACTCCCACAAAAAGTTTCAGAAGGTCTTATAAGACGATAGGCAGAAAATTCTTCATGAAGACTGGGTTGTAAGCTACAACGGCGTTGCTCAAAACTGATGACTGTCAAAGGCAACGAAGTAGATCAAATCATATCTGCCTCGTACAGCTTCATATCCGGTTATTATTAAAAACACCAACTCTCGATCCCAGCTTATGTGATAATGTCAGCAACTGGATAAGCTGGAACTAATAAGATTTCTCGTACTATAGGGTAGATGTAATTCTACAGTTATTTGATCAGTAAGAACAGATCAACTAGAGATACAGACTTGATACAAGATTCTGATTCTTTCCGATAGTCTGTTAGTGTTTATTTCCGAGGATTCAAGACTGTGTCTTAATTTTGATATAACTAATATTAGGTAGAAATACATAAAGATGTTCTAATCTATCAACAAAGGAAAAATATGTTTTCTCCTTATTCTACTATTTTTCTAATTTTCTTATTTCACTAAAAGCGTGTAAGCTGGTGTGAGGCTGGTAACAGTGAATTTAAAACTATCCTGACCAGATTACAAGGACATGCACCTCTTATGTCTAGAGATGTTAATATTAATTTTTAATCATTTGATATTGGAAACTGAAGGCAATTATATGCTCAGTTGACAGATTGGTATTTGTTTTTATGACTCATTTCAGTTTCTATTTTTGTATACGCTCTTTAGAGCTTATAAACAGGTTGTTTTTTTTCTCGTTCAAGCTTTTTAGACATACAGTTTAAAGAGCTTATATATTGACTGAAATAGTTTTTCTTTTTTAGATATTTTTTTAGAAAATGCACATACTCTTGAGCACTAATATACTGAATATAAGCCCCCCCCCTTCAGTGGCACAGCGGTATGTCTGCGGACTTACAACGCTAGAATCCGGGTTTCGATACCCGTGGTGGGCAGAGCACAGATAGCTCATTGTGTACCTATGTGCTTAATTGCAAACAAACAAACTAAATATATACGTTTTTAGAAGCTTATGCATGAATCGAATAATAACCATAGTTAATAACATTTGACAAGCACAAATTATTTAGTTATTTTATCCACCTTTAGAGCTGCAGTTGTACTTACGTGACAGTACAACAACAAAAAAAAGATTATATAAACGTATACTGAAAAACTGCTTGTGTTTAAACAACACAGTCACTGTGGACTTACAAACCACTACGAAACTGTGTTGGCTAATGAATAATATTTGTGATGATTTTTGTACAATCTACGTACACATAATAAAAAGGTGTTTTCACAACACAACAATGCATTTAAATAAACACAATTTGGAATTGCAAATCACGCGTCAGTTATATTGTTAGAAAACACACAAAGCTTCTTTGTTTACATTGATAGAAAAATATATTCTGTTACAGTCTGTCCACCGCGGGGAAAACGAACCCCGAATTTTAGCATTGTAAGTTACTTCTGACCACTATAAAACATCTTGCTAGGAGACTTGTTTTAACATGATGACTACTGTTGTTGTTATTAAACCTACACTTCTTCAGCGATGGAGCTTATGGGGAGTAATTAATTAAAACAACTTTAAGCTTGTTTCCTCTTGTTTTGGAGAAATAAACTTAGCAAGTTCTATAAAGTCTCTCTTGTGTCATGTGAGTCACCAAAGGGTAACTTCTATATTTATTTTTTTAATAAAACTTGGTTCATGTAGTTAATCGAATTTATTTCCACTCACATTTGTTTCAATCCTTCTAAAATTCAAGTTAAACAGTTCATCCAACGAAACTTTTACAGGTATTCCTCATTTGTTGTTGTTTTTGGCAGTTATTTTGATTTAAAAATAATTATCTCCTAAGAAATAATTACTATTCAAGGGTGCTCGAAGGTTAAACAATCCTCCTTCACCCTGCTCGTGGCATAAGGTTAAATTTTACTTAGTGGTAAGCGGAATAATGGGCCGTATGGGCAGAGAAGAAGTAATAATAATTAATTAATTAATTAAAAAAAGTTTTTCATTAAATTGAACTGGTGTATTTAAGTATTTTACACTCACAAAAAAGTAATCTATCATTCTATAGGTATTTGAAGAACTTGTAAGATTTCGCCACAATTTAATTCTTCGTATTGATTAGCCGACACTGGGCAGCTTGTACATAATTGAATAAATAGAGTTGTTTAAACCTTTGTTTAACAACAAGTAAAAGCTTGGAATGGTCTATTCTTTCATTGGAGGGGTGTGTCTGTGAGCCAGACTAGTTTCGGAGAATTCCACTTCTCATTTAATTATTGTAATGCATTCTAATCGGTATAAGTAAAAACATTAAAGATTGTACTTAATTTCTTGTACTCATTTTGAGGTTGATTTTTAGTTTTGATCTAAAGTAGCTTGCTGTGATCAGAAGTTTTATAAATATTAATAACCAATGAAATGTTTTACTTGCAAAAAAAATAAATAAAGAAACTGATATCATACTAACTGAATAAATACATTTTATTCAAGCGTCTTTAAAAATAATACATAGTGTCATAGATTAACAATTTCAAAAAGGATCAGCTAAAGTGGAATATCTATAAAATTTCTTATGATAACACATTTTTCTAAGAATCATCTTTGTAACGATCTGTTGAAGTGTGATGCTTGGATTAGGGTGTTAAAATTATTTCTAATCTGTGAAATAAATAATGAATGTAATTAATAGAGTTTAGTTGAGTATTTGTCTAGTAATATGTTATTTTTCGATTCCGAAACTTGGCATTGTCAATAAAATTGTTCTACTGAATACCAATTCGTACTTTATTTCAGTATTTGATGTTTATTTCGTTCATATGTCTGACAACAAACTTTCTTACTTGTCATTATAAACACTATTGATTTTCAAGACCCAATATTATCACGTGAGAACTAACGCTTTTATCAAGCCTAATCAGGATCCATGAATAAAAAAACGAACCAATATACAGAGTTCAGAAAAATGAAGGATAGTGGAAAAGCCACACGTGATATTTTGTCCATGAGGTTTGCTCTTTCTTTTCTTCGCTGTGCAGACGATGCAAGAGTTTTAGGCCTATTTCCTTTAGCAGCTTTTACATCTTCCTAAAGTAAAAAAGATAGTTTTTAGTTCAAGTCAGAGTTTTTCGTCATAATTCTTTGTATAATTTGCACTTTAAGATAAAGCACAAAGTTTGTGCTGTTTTAAAGAAATATCTCTACGATAAAAGCTTAAAATAACTATTTGATTGAAATGAGCATTTCAAATTTACAAATCTATGCTCAATAAGTGTATAAATCTAAAAATACTAAAAAGATGTGAAAATATTGTTGAATTGAGTACTAAGTGACAGTAATAGGGGCATGCGCTAACTCTTTATGAGTAGACCAACTGCCTAGCAGGAGGTAGTGGAGAATACTTTTACTGATGTCGCCACTAGCTTTCTCTCTGCATACTCTCTTACTTCTTCCTCAACTTTTGCTTTTTATAATTGTACCAAATGTTGTTTTGTTTTTTAACAGTCTCATTTCTCTGAATGTCGATGAAGACATTCCATTGTTGTTGTTGTTGCTTTCACTTTAATATTCGATATTCTGGCAACAATCATAACTCTATGGCAGGATATCGACTTCCCCTGCACTAATAAAGTGAAAGCAACAATCATAACTCTATGGTTTCACTTTATTAGTGCAGGGGAAGTCGATATCCTGCCATAGAGTTATGGTTGTTGCTTTCACTTTATTAGTGCAGAGGAAGTTGATATCCTGCCCATAGAGTTATGCATGGCCTGATAGGTATATCTAGGTGACGCCCTTACCATGCATTTGTTTTTCTTTATTTCATTCATTTAGAGATTAAGCACTCTGAATTTTACGCAGTACTGTTACTACCTGTGAGTCAGTCACAAATGTTATGACTATTGACGATTCGTTGCGTTCAGTAATCCAGAGAATGACTTGCTTTATAGTTTCCAGGTCCATCCTTATAGTTTTGTTTTGTGGGAAGTTTGAATAAGCCTGATTGCTCCACCAGCTTTATGTAGAACGTTGTTCCTCCACGAAACGATAAATGCCCAACGAGCTTTCCCACTTCCTTTTGTGTATGAATCTTCTGTGGCTATGATTACAGGTGACTGTCCATCCTGGAATTTAAGTAAGAGAGAAATAATTATCGACATTACTTTTCTGATTCACCCTCTTCCCAATCTCTACATGATGTTTATTCCCCATGATGAAATCTGATATATGGTGATGAAGATTTATCTCAGTGGTGGCTGTATAGCACCAATCAACCCATAATTGTCTCCTGAAGCGCCTTTAGACAATCACCTGTATGGTTGGTGACTGCGAGATCATTGTGGAGTTAGAATGTCCAAATTAGAAAGGGAAGCTGCTTGATGGTGCAATACACAATCTTTTCAATCCAAGGCCCTGAAAAAGAATTTTTCTTGTAAGCACTGTTGGTGTCCTGTGATATTGTTGAGGTTAGTAAGGTTTAATACGACTTTGATGAGGATGGTTGAAGTACATCTCGTAACCAGTCGTAAAGAGATGTTTAGTATCTTTCAACCATATCTGTAATTGTCATTGGCAGTGCATAATTCAGGATATAGATGATAAGCCTTTGATGAGAATGGTTGAAGATATGTTTAGTATTTTCAACCATATCTGTAATGATCATTGGCAGGGCATAATTCAGGATAGATATGATAAGACTTTGATGAGAATGGTTGAAGAAATGTTTAGTATCTTTCAACCACATCTGTAATGATCATTGGCAGGGCATAATTCAGGATAGAGATGATAAGCCTTTGATGAGAATGGTTGAAGTACATCCCGTAACCAGTCGCAAAGAGATGTTTTGTACCTTTCAACCTTATCTGTGTAACACATGTAATGATCATCGGTAGTGCAAAAATCAGGATAGAAATGATAAGACTTTATCAGAGCATGAGCAGTGACGTACTTCTTGTGTATTTCCTGTTGCAACTTTCTGTACATTAATGCCTTTAATAGCTCTGGTTATCTTTGTGTTAATGTGACTGGTGAAACTGAGAAGTAGAAAACACTAAAAAGAAAGTCATTCTGTTTGAATATGCCGCTACTATAAACTCCACATCAAACATGCACACACAAATATCCGACAAATTCACATAATTTTCAACAATCACATGACTAAGCTTGTTCATATAATTGTGCCTTTTGACGTGATATCGGAAACTGTTCGTCTGATACTTTTTAGTTCTCACTCTGTACACATAACTTCTATCATGTTAGTTAACCAGCATGTTAAACACGTTTTATGTTTGGTGTGGAAGAGCACTTGTGCTTAATAAAGAACCACTTCAAAATATCCCTGAAAATCATGATAAACTACACCTCTTGCTGTGAGTTTTAATGTGTGCAAGCACTAAAGCAATCAGATAGATATCTGCAAAGTTATGTCTATATCAATTTTATACACTGCTTTGTCTAAATTTGGTGCGTATCTAAATAGATCTGTTTCAAGTATAATTTCTGATACAAAAGTTGAGTCAATAAAAGACTTTAGTTTAGCTACAACTATGTTGTTGTATCTTTTTTTTTATACTCTCATTATTTGAAAAGTTTAGTTGATTTAAGCTACAAGTGCAGAAAAATAGTATATTATTGCTTTAAACTTATTCTTTTTTTGTAGTTCGTAATTAATATCATTCAGTTGTGCACTTACCGCACCTTTTGCTGTTAAAAGCATATTTCGTAAACTTTTTTTGCTAGCTTGGTCGTCATATTCTCCTAGTAAAATGCTGACAAGTGCGTATTCCATCAAGGAGGCAAAGACAAAGACAGTGCATGATGACATAAATATATCAATTGCTTTAATATACGACACAGGCGGAAGTGACTTCTGCGACTGTGCATGTTGAGTCGATAACGTCAACAGGCTCGTGACACAAAGCGTGACACGTGCAGGGACAGCTTCCGGTCTGATCCAAAATGAGATCCAGGACATGATGACGATCAAGCAGGTAGGGATGTAGGTATGAAACATGTAGTAGCCCAGACGACGTTTTAGCTTAAAAGAAACTTGAATACATGTGAAGTTTCCTATTCGTGAGAATAAAATTAGTATATTAATAAAGGCAGTTACTTGTCAAAGTGATTTTAAACACTAAGAGAACATAAAATGTAAGACAATTAGACGATGTCGGTTAAATGTTGTCTGAAATTGAAAACACACATCACATGGTGTATGGTCGGTATTTTCTCTGTTCCTCTTAAACACGACTGAGAGGCTAAGCATTTATTTTCTTAGCTTTTTATAATTCATAACTTATCTCCAGAAAGCGTATATGAGTCATAATCCAACATACATAATTTAGATCAATAGATTGAGGAGTCATAATCCAACATACATAATTTAGATCAATAGATTGAGGAGTCATAATCCAACATACATAATTTATATCAGTAGATTTTGGATAACATTTTATTTCATTACTTCAGCACAAAACAATTAATTAAAACGTACTGTAACAATTCTTTAATAGCTTCTTAAGGTGAGCAAGTGGATGTCGTTGTCGCAATTTCATTTGAATACAAATATGGTCATCACTTGCACCATGACAGCCTGTTATGTCTTTTTCAACTATTACGGTGTATCTGTAACTCACTTGTAAAGCCACTTTTGCTTTTATTATTTTCTGTGTTTTCCAACTTCAGTACATTATTGGTCAATTAACTGAGACTACAGATTTTAGTTGACAATCTTATAAATCGTTTGCAAATGAGTTGTTACGTTTTAGAGATCAATCTTACTTTGCTGTGTTTTAGAGATCATTCTTACTTTACGGTCACAGTTGCATACACTATTCATAATGTAATCTGAAGGAGATTACATTATCAGCACTACAAACAATATCCATAACGCAATTTGGAAACTATTACATTATCAGCAATTATAGAAAGTATTCATAACGCAATTTTGAAAAGATTACATTATTAGCATTACAGTAGAACTTTATCTAATATATCAATACTTTAGCTATGCTGTTTTAAGGGCAGTTGAATATCAAAAGTTAAACAACAACGTTTTTGTAATAGCAATAGTTTATAATAAAGATAGGTGTCAAAATATACGGTGGCATTCATGATGTTGAGAAACTCACGTTAGAGACAATGTTTACTATATACTATGGCATATTAAGTTTCGCTTATACAATAAATTTCAAAATTCGTTATTACGGGAAAAACAAAATATGTAATGACTCACTTAAAATTAAAATTTGAAATTGAGAGAACATATTTTTTATATCATAACATTTAATTTTCAGTTCAAATATTAGTCAAGTAAAATGTTCAATTTTTATTGCAAAATATGATCCCTCTTTTAGAAAATTAAGAAGCTAAATGTTTAAACAGTAATTATGTGACAAATCTTTATATTTTAAGCACACTTTTTTTCTTTTATCTAAAACATAATTTTTCTGGCCCTTTTGTTAAGAACAAGAAGCCACACGTAACTCGAATAATGAAATGTGCAGAAAGGAAAAGGAAACTAAGACAAAACTATTCCAAACTTCTATAGTAATTACCCTACTTTAAAGTAAAAATACAAAGGCGATCTGTCTGTTTCCTGTAGCTTTTTCAACTTTGTAAATAATTATTTTTCACTCAGTACATTTCGATTCTGCATGCAAGCACACATTTGTAAGCCTTAAAAATTTGTTGATTGGTTGGTATCCTAAATTAACACTCTCCAACAGTGTTTTCATAGCAATCTGATTGATATACTTAATGCACCTCAACTTGTTAGTCTGAACTCTAAGATTTGTTTCCAACACACGCACCAACGACTCTTTAAGTATTGGGCTTAGTAGATGGTTATTCTTAAGTACTACGTGATTTGTTGCTTATTAAAAGCAACTTAGGTAGTTCGCGTGTGCCTTATGACCTGAAATGATAAAATGTTTTGTTATTTCTTAGCATATAACAAAGTAACTAGATTGAATATATTTGTCTGTAGCTGTGGATTTAGAGTTAGGCCTTGTGCTATTTACTGTAAACATATATTATTGAACTGACGGAACTTCAAATGGTTATAACGTTGCCACCAGATTTAATAATACAGCTTTTTATTTTTATAAGAGATGGTTAAATTAGTTCAAACTAATAAGAAATTTTGAATGTCATTCTTTTTATTGAAGTGTAATTTCTTCAAATATATCAAAGACCTGTTTTGATGAAAATAACACAATTCGTTTGATCTTGTTATATATTTCCTTTAATCTTGCATTCAAAAATCATAATGTTAAAATGTTAGTTACTTATCTTTAGCTCTTTATTCAAGTAAAGTTTTGAGTAAACATTTTTATTTATCATAAGTGGCATATCTTCACGAGATCATCGTTATCATAAGTGCCATATCTTCACGAGAACTTCGTTATCATAAGTGGCATATCTTCATGAGAACTTCCTTATCATAAGTGGCATATCTTCACGAAAACTTCGTTATCATAAGTGGCATATCTTCACGAGAACTTCGAAATTTATATTATAATTCTAGTCTCTCGGTGACTTAGCGGTAAAACTGGGGACTTATAGCACCAGATTTAAGGGTTCGATACCCCCGGTGAATACAGTATAGCTGACCCATTGTGCACTCATGTACTTAAACAACAACAGGATATTAACTTCAGAAGCAAAAGAAAAATTCTTTAAATACTCTACTAGCTGCTAATAAAAGTTATTGTTTCACATAAATCCACGTAACAACATATATTAGTTGTCTAAAAACTGATTTATTAATTAAGCTTAGCAATTAATATATACATACGTGTGTGTGTGTGTGTGTATATATACTTTTTGTACCCCCCTTTAGTGGCCCAGCTGTAAGTCTGAATGCTTATAACGCTAAAAACTGGGTTTCAATACTTGTGGTGGGCATAGCACAAATAGCATATTGTGTAGCTTTGTGTTTAACTACAGACGAACAAACAGAAGTAGACTTTTCTCTCTCTCTCTCTCTCTTATAAAATACCACTTAAGATAAACTTACCAGTTGAGTAGACTTGGGTACAATATCCTAGACGTTTGTCGATTAAAATGTGCTGTGGCAACTCAATCGAATCTTCAACAACCAGAGGAGTTTCAGGTTCCCAGTCGAACACTAGATCATCGGTAGTGTATGATACTAGTAGCAAAAAATAAACAGCTGGGGTATAACAAAAAACCAAACGGAGACACTAGAAGATACATAAATATATTTAAATATGGTTATATACATATATATGAATTAGTTTAGATGATTTAATTAACGAACTATGAACAAAGGTATAATCGATATAATGGAAATTTAGCTAGTTTATTTAATTTATTGGTAGTGCATTCAATAAAATTGAAAACTTGCATGTAACAAAATGTATGTTTAAACACGACTTATTTGTAAGATAGACACAATTATAGTACACATAAGAGAGAGAGACAGGACTAGAACATTTAAGAACAATACCAGAAGGGTATAGAAACTCTGTAGGCGAAAGTTTTTATCAAGGACTAAACTGGACGGATGAGATTGATCATGCTTAAGACTTTAGGCTTTATCACTAGTGTAAATTTACTGAACGAATATCTATGCTTACTACATTTTATGAAGTAAGCAAACTGAATTTAACAACACAATAATATAAATGTACGGTCAGTTATATAGCTTACGGATGTTTTAAATCGCACGAAATTTACAGTTTTGTGCTCATTATAACAAAGTCTCTATATTTACTTAAGACTTATATAAGGCATGTCAACGCAGACGAACGTTTATTAGTCACATCTCGTGCTTGATCCGAATTCTTGTACTTATATAACCAAGAAATCGCCAGTAAACTTCATTTTGACATTTCGTCAGAAGCATATGATATAATTAGCAAGTTACTATATTCTGCCCATTCATATGAAAAATTCAAGCAGTTTTTCATCCAGTAGATTGTATGTAGCTCAACTGGATACGATGACAAAGAGGGAAAGCTAAACTCTTGTTTGCTTTAATAGATCTGAATAAAAAAAAACAAACAATAGAACATATGTTCTAGCCTGAAGAGAACTGAATACTTTCATAAGTGAAATGTAAGGCATATTTTTACTTACAACTTTCTATTTTCATGGTACAGATCTGGGTGTCGTGCGGATAGGTTTCGAACGTCATGGCACAAGATAAAATAAGTGTTAACCTACAAAAAAAGTATTATCAAGGATTATCTGAAAATAGAATGATTTATAAGTGTTTCTCCCCTTATAAAACATTAATTTGAATTGGACACTTCTCTAAAAGATGCCACGGAACTTCTCAACACTTTTATAATACTAACCTTTGACTAATGAGTGATTAGATCTTAAAGCCCAGAAAATCTGTGTGGCAAAATTACAATGTCAGGCACTTTTCGAAATTTAATTTTCACACACTGACAGTAAAAAGGTCCGGTGCTTAATCTTCACACATTTGATAGATAAAGGTCATGTGTTTAATTTTTACACATTTGATAGTTAAAGGCCAGGGTTTAATTTGTGACACATTTATGATAAAAGGCCAGATTTTTACTTTTCATATAGTTAAATATGAGTTGTTTAATTTTCACACATTTGATAGTTAAAGGCCAGGGTTTAATTTGTGACACATTTATAATAAAAGACCAGATGTTTACTTTTCATATAGTTAAAGATGAGTTATTTAATTTTCACACATTTATAGTTAAAGGTCAGTTGTCCGTTTATCTAGTGGAAACGCACGTGCATGTTAAACATTAATGAGACTATACTAGAATGTGCAGCGGATGCATCAGAACTACTTTTTTGTTATTTCTGGAGGGAATCAAATTAGTTAATGTAACACACACACACACACATATATACATAAAGTATTACGTGTAAAACAGATCACAGCTAAAAGGCTTAAAGTTATAAAAAAAAAGAGATATACAGAAGTACCAATTGCTTCTTGATTAGATACGTCGTTCATAAAATTCAGTTAGAAAGATGTAAGAACATTTACAACTGTATAGGGATGCTTCTATTTTCTGTTGCAACTCTTAGTTTTCTCTCCATCAGTAATTAAGAACATAACTTTGCAGGCTTCTTGAGTTATTCCAATCAGCTTTTAAAGCTTTTGGTTGGAAGTGTGCTGATTCTCAGTTTTCTTAACTGAAGACAATTACGTTTCGTCCTTGATAACTAAGGAAGTACAAACTGAGACATTCTGAAATAACTGGTAGAGATCCTGATGAGTAATAAAATTGAATCAGGTATACGCGCGCCCCACGCTTTTTATTGCTAGCGCACAAAAATATAGCTAATAAAAAGGGGGAAAAACGCCTCATAGATTAAGGTATTTAAATCCTGCCTAGAAGAATTTCAAGTGCTTCGGCTAATCAGGATTCCCCCTTGATACATCTGAAAATCTTTTCTGTACTTTCGAACGGTTTGTTTTGTTGAACAGAGGACTGAAGGATAACTTCGATTATAGTTTTGTTTTCATTGTGCTTTGTCGAGATGTGTGGACTTAATAGTTAAATAATATAATACACACATTTATATACATGAGATATATACATATATATATACATGTTTTAAATACAATAAAATATGTATGTATCAAACATTTGGGTGTAAAATATGGACTCAACAACCTAAAGTATAATAGTAATAATAGTATGATGAATTTTGTAGTGTTATGTTTTTGTTTTGTAAAGGAATTGGTTCGTATGCAAGTATAGTATTTTTGCTGCACTTTTATTACAAAACGTTTCAGAAAGAATATATATGATGAATTACTTACTTGACCATATAAAGAATAGTTTTATCATCATATAACCAGATGTAATGATTTGGAATAGTCATTTCTTGAAAGGTGACCTTCTTAGCGTTCTTGAAGAAAGAGTCCGGTCGCCACATCCGTTTTAACCAACTCACAGGGAGAAGTCGGTAGTAGCTGGTCATGTTTTCTGGAAGTCGAAGTCGGTAATCCTTCCAGCTCTGAGACATAAAGATGTCTGCTACGTATGTCTGAACACGAAGAAAACAAGTCTGTACTTGCAATAAACAAACCTTGGAAAATAAAGATATCGGTGTGGAAATATTCACATATATCCTTCTGCAGGTCACATTGTCAAAATTTATCATTGGACAACTTTGACTGGTTTGTAAGCACACACATAAGCTTATAGTTTCTTCGTTAAAAATATGTAAACCAATAGGAGATAATTGTGACAATATGAAATACATGTTTCAGAATGGGAAAGATAAATTCAGGACAAGCTTTAATCACATTTCATGTAAATGGTGTTAAAAACAATTTTCTTAAAACTCCACCCACAGAAACATTTGGTGGAGTAAAAGGTAAACAAGAGGGAATCCTCAATAGCAGCGGCTGTAATTAGATATCAAATTGGTCAAGATATGGATGGAGCTATGAACTAAATGTTTGAACTTGAAGAAAAGCTCTGAGCCATTCTATGAGCCGTTATGCCACGGCTAAAAAACCAAAAACATATACAGTCGTTGTTGTTGTTGTTTTCAATGGTTAGTAACGTTTAATTTCGGTTTAATATTAAATCTAAATAATATTACCCGGAGTGTACAAATAAAGCGTCATGTTTTTACATTTTGTTTCTTATCTAGAAAGTAAAGAAGTTTCGCAAAAAGACAGATGATTCAGAGATTTTTTAACAAATTTCCATACCTTTTTGTTTCATCTTTAGATAGTATATTTAAAAGAGTTTCAAACAGACATTATTTCAGTAGGTTTGTTTTTATCAAATCTCGTTTATTTTAAAGGTTAATATTTTTGGCACATTTTTACTACTTATTTGCTAAGTTATACTACAGAAATAAATAAAAAAACACTTAATTGTTAGCTTATATCATCCCACTTTATCAATACCAGAAATTTCCAACACACTATTCAGTTCCCCGGGAGAACAGCGATAAGTCATTGGACTTACAACAGTGAAATCTGAGGTTCGATTCCTCGCGGAGAATACAGCAAATGCCCAATGTGACTTTTTTTTAGACAAACGAACTACCATGATATAAGAAACCACAATTACGTCTAACAAACGTTGTCTTCACTGTCTGTTTGTTGCACCAACTTAATATTGCAGAGATTTCGATCGTAATAAAAAAAAGCCTATTTCCTATTCCAAATCAGTAATAAAAATGCCTTTTTCCTATTCCAAATCAGTAATAAAAATGCCTATTTCCTATTCTAAATCAGTGATATAAAATGCCTATTCCAAATCAGTAAATAAAATGCCCTTTTCTATTCCAAATCAGTAACAAAAAAATGCATATTTCCTATTCTAAATCAGTAATAAAAAATGCCTATTACAAATCAGTAAATAAAATGCCCTTTTCCTATTCCAAATTAGTAAAAAAATGCCTATTTCCAATTCTAAATCAGTAATAAAAAATGCCAATTCCAAATCAGAACTGGAGATTATTTAGCGGTAAGAGAAAAAAACTGCATGTATACTGTACTACTTCAGTGCCGTAAATAAGTTAGCATTGATAAGAAACAGCAGTGCAACACACACAAAAAATAGTAATATCTTTGAAAACGTGCATGTATAAGCATCGAATATCTTGTTGACTTCACTTAGCAGTTCTTACATATAAATAAAGGTGTATTTTTTATTCGTCATGTTTTCATGTACGTTCATCTTGCACTTAATTTTGGTTTTTACACTAAGGCTAATTTGATTAAGAGTAATTTATGCGCAAAAGAGAAACACGATAAGCTATATAAGTTAGTAACTTTTGAATCTAATGACATTTTTGAAACATTATACGCCACATCTTATTTACCTTACCAAAAAAAATACTAACGTTTCCGAGATACAAACAGACCCATTTACAGTAACTGGTTAATTTATTAGGACCCTTTATAGTTTCGAATTTAACCACCGTTCTCTGCAATAATAATCAGTAGCTAGTGTAACACAGACTCCGAAGTATG